GACAGGACCCATGCAGTGATGTAGGTAGAGGAATGTCTGTCTTCACCGCTGGAATCTGAGCCCTCTCAATATGTGCGGAGTAACTTAAAAAGAAATCGATGTCCTTGAGTTGTTTTTTTTTTAATGAAGTTCTAACATAGTGTGAAGCACAACCAATACCCCAGTGAAGTGCAACACGGAGCAGCCATGGCCTTGAGGCAGCGCATCCATCTGTGGACCGCCGCCGAGTGGCTTTGCGCGCTACACGGGAAGGTGTCTGAGGAGGAAAAGGAATCTGTTTCAACCTCCCTATGATTGACAGGACATTTGTTTTAAATTTGGGGCAAAGAAGAGTTCTACTTTCTATGTGTAGTGTGTCTACACTATATACATTAGAATTCCTTTGTTAATCAGTATGTTGAGTTTTCAAGCTATTTTTAGATTTAATAGAACTTGGGTCATTTTGCCTTTTAAAGTGTTTATTGCAAATGATTCACTTATGCCATTATAACATACAATTAAACAAAGCAGTGATTCACCTAATGCCAAGCGGGAAAGAACGCAGCCGAACTAAAACATTATTTACATGGCAAAATATTACCTACATTGGAGGTGGATTTACTATGTCAAAAATAGAAACTACCTAAGTAAATTATTGATTTATGCCCTGTCACTTTCATCAAGAATTTAAGAAAGCAACTGAAAAAAAAAAAAGAAACTGCATCATATTCATAATCATCACATTTGAACACTATGGTTATTATTATTGTATTGTCATTTATATCTACCTTTGCATAATATTTTTAGTTAAGCATCTTAATTATTTTATTTAATCCTCACAACCTTATATACTGTTATTCTTTTATTTCAAAGTCTCAGAGAGGATAACAACTTGCCCAAGGTCCCACAGTTAGTGGCAGAGATGGGAGACACAAGGAGACCTGTCTTTAAAGTCAACTTCTCAATCATACCCCTGCCCAACCCATATTATTAATATCATATAATACAGTCTCTCTCAAAGTTTACCCTCCCCCCAATAATGCCCTAGATTTGTATTTAAGATAAGTTGTTCCATCAAGTTGGTTGTTTTCTGAGCAATGGACAAGGGAAAATGGAAGAAAGTCTTCCATGGGTCTCAATTTTTGCTCAAAAAAAAATTCCTGTAATTTTACTCTAATGTTGGTAGTGAAAGTAAATCTGACACTGCGTAGGCTGCTGTGTCTGTTTAAGTATAAAAAGGGAGGGAGGAAATCCATATCATTGAGTGTCTATTATGCACCAGGCACATGCTCAACACTTAACTTGTGCCTCACTTAATCATGACAACACTTTACAGTAAGTACATCAGTTAGGACTAGGTTTTGCTACACCTGAGAGGGACCCAAACCAATGGTGGCTTAAACAACAACAAACCCTGTATCTGTCTCATGTAGATGTCCTTAGCTGGTATGGTGGCTCTGCCCCATCAAGTCCTTATGGGCCCAGGCCCCTTCCAGCTTTGTGTTTTGTCATCCCCTTGATGTCACACCTGTCCACACTGTCCAGGACAGTGCTTTAGCCATCATGTCCACATTCCAAACAGCAGAACAGAAGGGAAAGAGGGAGACTTTCTTTTCAGGAAGTCTCCCAGAAGCTGCTCTGGATACTGCTTGTATTCTGGCTTCTTTCCCCACTACTCACTTGCAATCACAGTGTGCTTGGCAAAACGTTTGGCCACATCTCTCTTCCAGATAGCTCCTAAATATATAGTTCTCTGGATCCACTTCTCTCCTGAGCTCTAGGCACCTGTTTTCACTCTAGCATCTCAAGGTCACCATCTGTTTCAGTGACAGCTCATCAGACAGACCAGGTCAACTCTGAATTATTTATGCTAAACCTGAGATGGTTCTTGTTATCATTGTTAGCCCATCAAAAGAACTACAGGCTTTTTTATGTTACAGAAAACAGGACCATTTACGTAAACACTGAAGGTAGCATGAATCTTTGATGTTTGCAAGCTCAGAATTAAATGGAAATGAATTCATTATAAGGCAGTCCTAGTACTGAGCAGAGGGCTTTAAGAACAAGCTAACATGTGCTAGTCAGGCCCTTGTGAGAGAACTCTAGGCCAGCTTGCTAAAACTGAGCAAGAGAGCTTGGAGACAGTCGAGAGGAGAGCCACAAAAACAACCAAAGAATGATGAGAATAATTGTAATTCTGTTATAAAGAGACCGTCTATATCAGGCGTCTGCTGAATGCCACATGGAATGTTACAATGCCAAGCATGGGGAACAGCTGTTGTGGGTTTTAACAGACAGAGACATGAATGGGAGATCAAGAATTTAGGTTAGATATGGGGGAAAGTGGGGACTGTGAAAGAAGGGTTCACGGTCATCTCAGGCTGAGGAGGGGGCAGTCTCCTCCAACAGGCAGCACCCGTGTCCCCAGTGAGCTATCGTTAGACTGTGTCTTGCAATTCACTATTTAACTTGAAGTTTGCTACAAGACACTTCCAAATGTGTTCTAAATATGTGGTAAATAGTTCTAACAATGTAGTAAAGAAGAAAGTCCTAAAAATGCGATGGTAATTCTAATAATGTGGTTAAAAAAAAAGTTAAAAAAAATGAAGGTTATAATAAAGTCTGTACAGAAGTTGCAAGTGTGCAATCAACCTGGAAAAACCTAGCAATTACATTTTCTGGAAAAATGAAGCCAGAGTTCCAATTGCAGTAACTAAGGCAAGTTAAGTTGATGGCAGGTGTAAAGAAGTTAATGGAAACTGCAGGGTTGAATATAAGTCAGACCGTGACTGACAATTTGAAACATTAGATATTCAAGTGCACAGAGACAGGCTGATGAGCTAAGCCACCACACTAACAGCTCTGCAAACCAAGGGCTTCACAAATTGCACAAGAGCCTGACCATGGTCCCATTGTGGTTTTGGCACAAGATTAGAAGGGCCGCATTGGTTCAAACGGTGCTTGGATAGAGCAAAACAACTGGTCACAGAGATGGCATAATTTTTAAAAACCACCACTGTCATTTATTGCACTAGTTCCCCTAATAAGTTTGTGAATATTAAATACATTGATATATAAATGCAATGCATTCCAATTTTAATAGAATGGTATTTCCATAAGATGTTTCTTTTTGGTTTGTAATATTTTCTAAATACAATAAGAATTCTCACAGCTTCCATCTTTACTAGATATTAAAAGTTCTGCATAGTATTTTGTAGAAATGTGAGAAAAAAGTTGTAGTTGGCCTTTTGAAATGTATACAATAGATTCTCAAAGGTGGGTCATTTGCCTATAAATAAAGTATTATCCAGTGAAAGAGTTTAAAATCCAGTGCAGGTTCTACTTCTGTAGAACTAATAAGTAGTGTATAAATATAAAAGCAGAAGGAACATATCTTTTTATTTTGTTATGTGGACAACACTCATTCAATATATAAGAAGCCAATGCAATCTTTGCATGCTTAAGATATTATTTCTTCTCGTTTTTTGGTTTGTTTTTTTAAAGCAAGACATTGTATAATGACTTTCATACTCTGTTCATCCAATTTCAGGTTTGAATTGCCCCAGGAAATTGCATAGTATTCTGATTACTACTGCTTAGGTTCTATATTTCATATGAGAACTATCTTTACATAATGGGAAAAACTATGACAACCACTTCATTCATAAGAGAAATTATGTTTTGTTCATTTGTATTTTGTTTGCTAAATTACATATTGGTTACTTAGACTCACAGCATGCATTTCTCAAATGAAGATTTTAAAATCATTTCCAATGAGCTTGAATTACAGGCCAATTCCCAGTGAGCTATAGAATAAGTGGTTTTCATATAATATTTACTTGTGACTCCACTGTTGATTGGTTTAGGAAAATGTGTGCGTGTGTGTGTGTGTGTGTGTGTGTGTATAAAAATGTCAATTTAATATTTTTTTAACTGAAACAAACCCTTCCCTGAATCTCACTGTTGACTTATGAACATATTCAAAGCAGCCGTGTGTGGGGGATGGTACAAACTGTCTGGACAGGGGGGCTAGAGTTTAGGTTCTGGCCACAGCTGCTTCATTCTCTCTGTGATCTTGAGCAGTCCCATCTGAGCTTATTCATTATGGAAGCACTGGAGAATGTCTATGGAATAATCAGGTATTTAAAAGCACTAGAATTGCCAATGTCCAAGTGACTAAACAAATTATGATCCACCTACACACCAAAATGTTATGTAGCCATGAAAAATAATGATGCAACTTTAAATATACTAATACGAAACAATTTCTAAGATATCCTGAGTGAAGCAAACATAGTCTAGAACAACGATATAGTATGCTGCCATTTGTGTGGGTGCATGCCAGCACACGTGTACGCTTTTAAAGAATATAGGCATATTTATGCTTACATTTTCACAGACCATCTTTGGAAGGGCATACAAGTCACTGGCAATAGTGATTCCCTTCAGAGAAGGGAACTAAATGGCTGGAAGTGGGAGGGGGGTCATTATCATTTGTCCATGTGCATATATTACAAGTTTAAAAAATAAATACGGAATTTTTTAAAGACCTAGGAATTAACTCCATTCTTAGAAGGCTGAAGAGATAAAGGCTGAGAGATAATTAAACATGAAGCCTGGATACAGCAGAAGCTTGGGGCTCCTCTATAGCCCATACTCACCCACATCTTCATTTTCCTTTTTTGTTTCTTTTCTGAAGCATCTGTAACCTTTAGTTTAAATATTTAAAGATCTATGGTTTACTAGGTAGGGTTTTTGTTATGCCACATACCTTCATATTTCCAAGTTTGTCTGCTTGGAACAGATTCATTTTATTAAATACTCAAAATGTGTCAGTCGTGAAAAGTGGAAAGACTTTCAATAGGAATTATGTTTCAGAAGCTTAGCAAGAGCTATGCCCACTAGCTTTATAACACATGTGGTACAGTATTTTGCCGTGTACAGAATGCACTCACATACATTACCAGTTGATCCTTTGCACAGATGCTCCACGTGATTCCTGCTATTCTCAGCTTTGCCCATGAACTAAAATTAGAACTCGGCTGACATTACATTTCACTTGGTTACGGTCTGACTGAGGATTTTAATCATTCAGAGCGACACTGAAAACAATTCTCCCTGCAATCCATCCTTAATCACCAACTTTGGGCATGTCAGCTTCCGCATCCAGCGACAATGGTAAGTATTTTTCAAAAAAAAAAATTATTTTTCCATTCTTCACATATAGATTGCTGATGATGCCTTTACTGTGTCTGTATTTGCTGAAATGTACAACTAAACTTGGAATTGAACTTAAAAGTCTCTTTGGGGTTCATAGTCACCCACGTAATTGTCCTCCTCTGAAGGATTGATTTCCCTGAAAGAAGCATTTTTGGGGGGAGGGGGGACTGTATTTCTTCCTTTTGACTTTGGGAAGCCGACTCTCGAGTCATGTCCTTGCCATACTTATTTCACTGCCACGCTATGGGCCTTTCTGCCTTGGTAATAAGCAAGGTAGAGACCACAATCCTATGCCAAAGGCAAAATCACACGCATCATTACTGACTTGTTTTCTAAGAGAAACTGTTTGCTGTGATAGGACTGACCAAACTTTAACGACAAATGAGGAAATGAATTAGCACATATATGTCTAGTAAGATACACATTTACATGTAGATACTTGCAATTTGAAAAAATATTTTATTATTTGTTAAACAAAGACTTCAAACTTGCTAAAATCAGAGACAAATTGTAGGTTGACTGTGATATATTTAGTGAGTTAGTTGGATTATCAGCATATGTATCCCAGGTTCCTAAATGGCAAAAGATTTCACAGTCTGTTCCTATGTAAATTCTGCATGCATTGCTTAAAAATAGGGACTATCTCTTAATGATTTTCTGCACATTGGCAATTATATGTCAATCCTGAAATTTTAAACTTTTTTCCTCTAAAATAGTTCTGCTTCCTTTGTCTCTGTCACACATACACACACACACACACACACACACACACACACTGCATACTTTTAGTTTAAAGAAATCAATAATTTTGAGGAGATTAATAATGAAAAGCAATATTCTCTACCTCATTTCTATCACCCCAGAAGTAACCATTTTAACTATTTCAAGATTTAGTTTTATATTCATATTTCTTTTCTTTTTTTCCCAAAGGCGGTTATATGTTTTTTCTTATAAACTGTAGACATTATCAATTATGAAAGATGATGCATAAGTTCTTTTACATACCCATGGAGTTATATCCCTATTTTGAGTGCCTCTCTTTGCTATTTTTATAACTTTAAACAAATACTTCTATTTCTACTTCTTGTTTCATAAAGTAGACACAGTATTTATTGACTCCCCACTTGAGCAGCAAGAAGATAAGAACAAGACTTTCATAAAAGTGTTGCTCATAATAGCAAAACTATGAAACCCAAGTATCCACATTCATTAGATAGATAAATAAACTGTAGCATAGTTGTACATTTTAGAGATCAAGGTATATTAGTATATAAAATGCTGTTCCTTCTTTATGGAGCTATATAATTTCCCATGAGATGGATGTACTATAATTTACTGATGGAAAGTTATGTTGTTTCTAATATTTTGGTGCTATGAAAAACACCATGGTGAATAACTTTGTAATATGTCATTTTAAAATTGAAAATATTTGCAGTATAAATTCCTACAAGTGTGAATATGCATTTCTAAGTCTGACAGATATTACCATATTTCCTTCCATAGAGAATATAACAATATATACAGCCACCTTTAGTGTATGAAGAGTACATACCTGTTTCCTACGAAGTTGCAAATTTCATGTCTTCCTTTCTAAACTTCTTTTTACTTTCCTTACATTATAGCATTCCATTATAATGTTGAATAGACATGGTGATTGTGAAAATGTTTGACTTCCTGAATTTGGAAGGATATAATTCAATTAACTGTGAAAAAAATATTCTTTCATTATTGTTAATATAATTTGGTGAAAAACCAATAACATTATTTATAAGGCGAAGAACATTCTATCAAGTGGATATAAATTAACTTATATAACCATTCCCTTATTATTTTCTTCTCATTTCTGAGATTCAAGTTATAATTCTCAATATTACATATGTCCACATGCAATTTATTTTTACACAAGAGCAAACAATCCCAATGTTACCACTTAACTGAATTCCAGCTAGATTACGTAGATATCCTAAGATGCCTGTATTATTTTATATATCCAGTTTTTAACCATTTTCCTATAATTGGACATGTAACGTAGTTGCAGTTTTTCATTACTATGCATTATATCGTAACAAAGGAAGTAGGTTTGGCATCAATTCACACTTCTGCCACATAGTAGATATGAGACCTTGAACAAATTACTCATCTTCTTTAAGGCTCAGTTTTCTCACTTGTATTTTAGAAAACATAAAAGTACCGATGTCATAGTATTTTTATGAGTATTATTAAATGAGACACAGCATATAAAGTGTACAAAAGTTTTTGGAACATGGAAAGTGTTCAATAAATGTGTTATTATGATCATTACAGTACTCAATGACCATTCTAAAACACATTGGCTTTTTCCTCTGGTACAATTAGGTCCTTTCTGAGATGGCATCTGTGATACATCTATTCAGAACTTAATGAAGTTGGTGACAATGTGGAGAAATCATGTCAGAAAATGTGGTGTGTACTGGAACTGTCACTACTGTAAAGAAAGTTTGGGAAAAAAGAATAGAGACACTCAATGAAGACTTGAAGCGAGAGAAGGAATTTCGACAGAAGTATGCTTTAACATGTTTATTATTATGAATTAGTGAAAATTCATAACATCATTATAGAAAAGAGCATTTATTAAATGCCTTATTATTGAATTTGATATTATTTACTGAAAACTCAAAATATATCTAAAGGAAACATGAGACTCAAGTGTGGCCATGTATTGGCACCACAAAAAATTCAAGTGTGTATATGTGAAAATAGTAGTTATCCCAGGCCCTCATGACGCTCTGTCCAACATTCATCAAAATTTGATTAGTACTACTTAGTCTACTTTTCAGTGATTGTTTGTTTAACATTATATCCCTAGAATGTAAAACATCTGGTGGAAGTTTCTGTAGGTTCTCGCCTATTTGAATAGCTGTGAGTTGCCCCTAGGGCCCCTCTAGATCATTTGATTCCTTGATTTGGTCTATATTTAAATAGTTTGGCTTTCATTTCCTCTGTCTCCTTGGTATCTCCCCACTTTCCTAACTGGATGTCTCCAAAGTATTCTACTAATCTTGAAAGAATAGCCTCTTTCTTCACCGATTCCACATAGCTCCATTCATTAGGTGTCTCGCTAAACATTAAATGGTCTTGTGTCAGTTAGAAAATAACAGAAAACTTGACTAAAATTGGCTTAAACGCTGGGCAAGTCTTGAGGTGAGGCAATTCCAAAACTTCAACATCTTTAAAGACTCAGCTTCTTTTCATCACCTTCCACTGCTAATCTCAGTCTGTCAGTTTGGTCCTCAGGTTAACTTCCCTCAATGTCTCAGGATGACTGTTACTTCCAGGCATCACAGCCAGGCATCATACTATTAGAGTGAAAACTATTTCTCTCTATTCCTTCTTTAAGAGTGAGGAAACTTCTGAGGTTCCTCAGCAAACCTCTCCTTCCCCTCTCATTGGCCAGAATTGGGTCACTTATACACCCTTAATCCAGTTACCTTCTAGAGAATAAGACTGTATGATTGATTTAGACAAATTAAGATTATACCTGGGTTACTTGGAGGAAGTGTGAACACTGGAAAATACCTGGTATTCTCCCAGCAAAGAAGAGAGAGAAAGGTTGTTGATAAGCAATTATTTTGTCTGCACAAATAGACCTGCATGGGGAGGGGCCGTTCTTTCACACCAAAGCCAATAAAGATGATACTGATGCTGACAACGATAGGACAGCAGTCATATAATGTGCACTAACTGTTTACTAGGCACTCTGCTAATGTTTTACTTGCACTATCTCATTTAATCCTCTCAACATGCTGAAACAGTATCATGATGAGGGTTAGACTGCATTATGAGAGAAGGAAAACCAAAATAAAAGTGCCTTAAACAAGATATGTAAGCTTTTCTGGGTAAGTGTTCCAGGGCTGGAATGGCACTCCACTAAGTCAAACACTGAGGGTTCTACCTTGCTGCTCAGTTGTGCGTGGCCTCCATTCCTAAAGGCACCTCATGGCCCCAGATAGATACACAAACTGCAACCATCATATTTGTTGCAAGCTAGCAGGAAGCTGCACACACGGCTACTACAGCCAGCATCCCATAGGCCGAAGCTTCACAAGACCCATGTCTAGAAGCAAGGGGGGGGTGCTAAATAAAGTCTTGTGCTAGTTCAATTTAGAAGATCTATTGTTGAGAAAGAAGAGGAGGAACAGACATTGCGGGATGATACGCAGTCTCTGCCACACATTGGTGCTATTATTGTCTCCATTTTAAATATGGAAAACCTGAGGGACAGACCTAAGTAACTTGACAAAGATCACATTGCTAATAAATGTGGAACTGGTATTCACACCTAAGTAAATTGACTCAGTAAGCATTGCTTTCACTTCAGGTCTTACATTTCCCTAGATTAGTCCTTTATATATAACACTACTCTTATGAAACCTGTTATATTTGTATTACACAATTATGACAAGCTTGATTCTAGAGTATTCTTAATAAATCCTACCCATATTTTATCAGTGGACAGGAATCATGGCTTGATTCTAAATTCCTGAATTTCACCTATTACATGTGTCTAATGAACAATCACTTAATTTCAGCAGTTTTAACTACCCTAGCAGTAACCCCGAGTGTGGCTCGGGGTAAATTTTCACTGCCAGAAGCGATAACCCCTATTTTTTTATAATTATTTATTATATTATAATTTATGATTTTGTGTTTCAAACTTTATCATACCTGGGATGCCTACTAGACTCTTGTTTGGACAGATTTAAGTGAGTAATTCCTAAGAATTACAGGCCTACAATATAAAACAACAAATTTCCATGCAAAACAATGTACCGCTTTGGGTACAAAATTACTGACATTATCAGACCGCCAGGGAGGTTAAGTTCTCTGTGTACAAGAGTAATGAGTGAGCACTATTTTCCTTTTTACCTCTTTTTTGGCTTGATGACTACATTGTGATTAGCAAAATGTAAATTCCAAAAGTTAAATCAGTTTCTAGTTCTAGAATCTTTACATGGAATTTGAGAAATGTAGTTTTTCAAAGCCTCCTTCCCTTAATCTTAAGATGGTTTCATTGTAAAATCATTTTATAGCATTATAAAACTTAGTTTATGGTTGAAATTAAGTCCACGCCATTTCAAAGGCAAACTATTGTACATAGATTTAAAACTGTAGTATTACTAAAGAAATGATAATGAACAACCACAACTGATGCAAATGGTTAAGAATCTGACACACCGGTTAGAGTGAGGCAAAGAAGCTGACTGCCAGAAAAAAAAAAAAAGAAGAAAAAAAAAGCTAATTGGAAAAATCATAGAATTTTAAAGCAGACCAGAGGTAATCCAAAGAAATGTCCTGTGTTTTTGCTCTGCTCTGAAGTAGAGCAGTGCTTCTCACACTTGAATGTGTGTAAAAATCACCTACCTATCTCGTTAAATTTAGATTCTCCTTTAGTAGGTGTGGGTGGGGCCTGAGTATCTGGATTCTAACAAGTTCCCTGGGTATGGTGATGCTGTTAGTCTGTAAATCACATGAGTAGCTAGAAAGTGAATAAAAGAAGCAACAGATTTGAAAGTGACATGTAAACAGGCCAGGGGTAAGAAGAAGAAGAGTGTAATCTAATGCTTCTTCTCTCAGCTAAAAGTGGCTAAAAATTTAGCTCAAAAAGCCTAAAGTTTAAACAGAAATTGTCCTTATTGTCTATGGAAGCCAATCTGCCTTAAAGAAATCAAGCACTTAGGTAAGAGTTGGTGTGACAACATCTGGGAGAGGCTTTACACTATAATAAAAGGGTTTTAGAGGAGGTAGAAATTTTCTATTCAAAACTTAAAAGAACATAAAGGTTGAAATAAGCAATGTAGAAATTAATACTAGAAATACTAAGGCTGGAAGTGACCTTGGACATCATTCAATCCAAATCCCATAATTTATAGGCAAGGCCCACAGAGGCGAGATGTCTTCTCCAAAGTCACCAAATTAATTGATAAGTTCTAGACTTAGAGCATAGAAATTCAGAGCCAGAAAGAATTTAGGAATCATTATAGATATAGAAATAGACTTGATTAATAATAGTTAGCCTCACTGTAAACTCATTAAGGACAGTTTTTTTGTTTTTTGTCCACAATAGTATTGGGCATATAATGGATGTTTGATGAATTCTTTAACTGAAGTTAAAGGTTAGAGAATAAGATACCTAATTGTACTTATCACTAAATCTTGCTCTGAAATACATGTAACTCTTAAGGGGTAATAAATAATAATCATTAGGCCTACTGTTTGAATAGTTATATTTTTATAAAAAGTGACATAATTGAAGAGATGGCATGATACATTTTGTTTCAGTTAACCACACTTACCAGAAGCTTAGCTGTTCAGTCTAGAAGGCCACACACATAGACATTATTACAATGCACTTGTTTGCAGATTAAATTTCACACAAGTAGCAGATGAAAATACACAGACACTATAGAAATATTTTGCAAACACAAACATATAGACAGCAAATTTACACTTTTAGAGTTATTTGGGTTTCTGTTCACAAATAAAATTCTTACTTCAGATCAGTTAATATATAAAACTGTTAAGAATATATATTAACTCAGAAGTCAAGAGATTTTTGGCAAATAAATATTCAAATTAATTAATTTATAGTCTTTGATGACTGCTTATAGATCTTTGTGTAACATTCTAACAGGCTGAAATTGCGAAATTTTCTATTTTTTAATTTATTTTTCATACATGAAAAATTTCCTAGTATTGTAATAGAGAAACGTTTGCAACCTTTTTTTTTTTTTTTTAAACATTTTTATTGGGGAATTGGGGGAATGGGAACAGCACTGGGGAATTGGGGGAAGGGGAACAGACAAGTTGTTGTCGTTTTT